TGCCGGCACACACAAGGTGTTGCCTCGCCCGGGGGGAGGCAGCAGGCTGATTTGCCAAATGATTATAATTGCCTTTTAGGAGCAGATAGCAAATTGATTTGCTTCCTTGTCCAAGGCCCGTAATCGCTTCATCACTTTAAAATATTAATGCTATACTTCTTTGCTAGTTTCCCAATTACCCTAATTGAAGGCAAATTGGTTAAGAAGGTGCAATGCAGAGTATCAGGGGGTTTAGTTCACTCAAATGACAGTTTTAAACCTCCCTAATCCTATTAGCGCGCAAAGCTGCTAACGCTTAGAGACGCTGCGTCAGCTTACCGGGGCGGTGGGGCCGGGGGCGGGGGTCGGCCCGGGGGGCGGCCGGGGGCCACCGGCCTCACGTGACCAGCTCGGCCGGGGATTTATCACTTTTTTAGTTCATTAAGAGGCCTTTGGCAGGCGGGGAGGCAGCAGGGGTGACCCAAAAGGGTGCTGGGCGGGAGGCAGGTGGCAGCATGGGGAGGGCGGGGGGAGGACGATTAGCCAAGGAGACCTGGCGGAGGGTCCTGACCCGAATCCCAGCTGGCGCTGGGAGTCCCCATGCAGCCCCACTGGGAGCACTGGGAGAGGGCTGCCCGGCAGAGCAGGATGGGACCCTGGTGTGGAACGGGGATGGAGGACTGAGGTGGTGCTTGCAGAGCTCGTTGGGGACCTCAGTGCCACCATCCCAGCAGCTGGCACTTGGTGGCGATGTGGGGTGGGATCAGCGTTGTGCCGGGTGCCACAGCTGCTGCCGCCCGGCCAGGATCCTGGCGAGGGACTGCTGTGGCACAGACGGTCCCATCCCACAGGTGGGGTTTGTGCCTCAAGGGAGATTTCCTGAGTTCTGAAGAAAAGCTGGTGACCGGGGATGAGGATGATGGCAGAGACAGCAGGGATGATGAAGTCAGCAGGGACAGCGGGGCCACCGAACATCCCGAGGCTCCCCGGTGTCAGGCGCAGCCTGTCTCACGCTCCCCGGGATGCTCCGGCAGCCCCTGGGCTGGCACCGGGAGCGGTTCCGGGGGAATGGGCACCCCGTGTGTGCAGGGTGTGCTCCCTTCTCTCTGAGCTCCCGCTCCTGAGCCCTGGCTCTGCTGCAGCGCTGGGCTCGGGGGCAGCTCCGGGCCCACCTGCGCCGGATCCGGCCGTGGGCAGCCCGGGCAGGGCCGGCCCCGCAGCCTTTCCGGAGCAGATGGCAGCGGCGTGGGGAGGATGGAGGCGGCTCAGCGCGTCCTTCCTTTCATGCACACACAGCGTGATTCCCGGCGGCTCCGGCTCCGGCGGGAGGTGCCGCTGGGGCCAGCGCTGGACCAACATTTTACACGGGTTCAGCGAGCTTAGTCCTTGGGGACAGGCGACTCAGGAAGATTAGAGCTCGCTAAAATAGGCAGGTATTAGTGATCTCAGCAGCCCCCGGTTTTCCGGCGCGGCCGCATTTAAGCCAGCGCTGCTGCCGAGCGCCCAGGACAGAGCCCGGCGGGGCAGGAGCAGCCGGGCACCCCGGCCCAGCCGAGGGGATGCTCCAGCACGGAGTAAATGCTCCACGCCCGCTCCGGGGCTGTCCCCAAGGGTGGCCAGGGGGATCACGGGGTCCCAGTGAGGGCTGCTGCAGAGGGGGGGCAGGACCCAGTGGCCAAGCGTCCCGGGCTGGTTGGTGGCTCACAGGACACGGAGCAGCCCGGCTCCAGCGCTGTCATCGTGTTCCCTCACCCAGCAGGACAGGGACTGTGTGGGTGCGGGATGTGGCAGGACAGGAATGGTGCCGGCAATGCTGTATTTATTGAGCCAAACGGTGCACGGTGCCAGGGCTGGTCAGGGGGGTCACGGGGTCAGGGATCTGCCCCATGTGGGGGCTCACACCAAGAGCACCACGAGAGGGACCTGAGCACACCCAGGCGTTCTGCACCCCTGCACACCCTGGCAAAGCAACTGCGAATGGCTTTGGGGAAGAAAACCCACGCCTAACATGAGTATTGGGACCCGTACCCCAAGTGAAGGCACCCAGAGCTCGGCATGCCGCGGTTCCCGGGCACAGGGGCTGCCGATGGCTCCTGCAGCGCTGCTACATCAGGGCGCACTTGTCCCGCACCTGCTCCACGCCGCCCAGGGCGCGCTCCCGCAGCGCCGGCAGCTCCACCTGCCTCAGCTTCGCCAGGAAGGCGAAGGCCCCGGCGCTGCCATCCTCCTCCTCCTCCTCGCTGTGCACCATGGCTGCCAGGTCCGGCGGCAGCTCCACCGCCCCTCCGGCCACGTGCACCTGGGCGTCGTCCCGCTCGTCCTGAATGCGGGTGGGAGAGGCCGTCGGGTGGGGACAGACGCGGGGCCCACCCCGGCGGAGCGGGGAAAGGGGGACAGAGAACGGCCAGTCCCAGGGGGCCGGGGACACGGCGGGATTCCAGGACTGCCCAGTGCCACACTCGGACGCTGGGTGGACAGTGGGCGGCAGATAGACAGAGACAGTGGCCGTCTGCTGCCCCCTTCAGGAATCCCTCCGGCCCAGGGGAGCACGGCAGCCGTGGGCCTGGAGCTGTTCTGGCGATGTAGGGTCAAGGGGAAGCCCCGGGCCCGCAGACAGGCTGGTTCTTACCTGGGCCAGGTGGTACTTGTCCCGCAGGTGCATCCGCACCGTGGCCCGTTCTGCCTTCCTCTGTGCAAACGCCTTGTCCCGCTCGATCCTGCAGCAGGTGCCACACCATCACCCCTCCTCATTGAGCCTCCCAGGACCACCCCACCCCGGTCACCCTGCTCCTCCTGCAGAGCAGGTCTGGGGCAGGAGGGAGAAGGTCTGAGACCCACAAGAGGGTTAAAGTGGGGATCTGGGAGCAGGAGTCACATCCTGTCCATGCAGCTCAGCACGCAGATTCAGAGGTGGTTGATGAAGGTGCCCATTGCAGGGATTCACTCCTCCTGCAGCCTCTCATCTCCCTGGTGCTGAGCTGCTGGCTTCCCACAGTGCCCAGTCCTAGGGAGGTGGGACCTGAATCCAATCCCAAGCTGACCCCAAACCCTGGGCTCCACGGGTGCTGGACTGGAACCATCCCAGGGCTCTGACACCTGGGGGTTCCCCTTGTCACCTGTGGTGCACAAAGGTGCTGTCACAGCCCTGTGCCAGCACCTCCATGGACCCCCCCCATGCTGTGGGGGACACATGCTGAGGGCACCTGCTCTGCACTGTCTCTTGCCCCAGCTGCCTCACTGTCCCTGTGCTCTGCCACCCTGGGGAAAGCCCACAGAATCAAATCCTGATTCTGGGGTGTTGGGGGACCCTCGTGACCCGCTCAGCCCCGGCAAGGCCTTACTTCTCCTCCAGCAGCTGCCGCTGGTACTCTTCAAACTCCTCGCGGGCCATGGTGCTGGGCAGCGCAGCCGCCTTCTCATCCTTGGGGGCCCCCTTGGCGGACTCGTCCTTGCCCCCCTGGAAGCTCTTCAGGGTGGCCGTGAAGAAGGAGGCCATGGTGGGTGGCGGTGGCAGCTCCTGCCCCGAGGTGCCCACCGGGTCCCAGTGCCCGCAAGGTCAGTGGGCCCAGCCCCAGGGGCACCGCGGATCAGGGGCGGATTAAGGCATTAGGAGGGGAAGGCACAGCCAGGGTGGAAGGACCTTCCCTTTGCTGCACCCAAGGGTGCTTGCAGGGGACAGTGGCAGTGCTGGGGGACAGCAGGTGCTGCCTTCATCAGGAGTCACTGAACTGAACTGCAGCATACACCGGGTCAGGCTGAAATACCCCCAATACATGGGTCCAAAATTGGGTCAGCACCCATGGGGCCATGGCAAGCCCTGGGGAGAGCCCCATGCCGTGGGCACCCAGAACCCTGCACTCAGGGGGATTGGGGGTGCAGGAAGTCAGCATGGAGGAGACACAAGAGGATTAGCCGAAAAAGCCCAGCCGAGGGTCAGAGGAGTGGCAGCAGATGAGGCGGTGGCGGGGCACACCCACCCTGTGCCCCCGCTAATCCCTGCTCCACCGAGACCGAGATTGCTCGGCAGCCTGCGGGGCCGGGGGCTCCCCACGCCTGCGGATGTGCCCCGTGCCTGTAATCTATAGGAAAGCAATTCCCATACAGGCTCTGATTAAAGCATAATCCCCTGCTGCACAGAGCCCCGATGGGAGAGGGGCTGCATGGCAGGGGGGGTTCCAAGGGCCAGAGCTCCTGGCCCCCCCAAAGCCTTTCACTGGACTTTGTCAGGCCCCAAGTGAGAGATAGGCCTAATTTCACTCCAGAGGCTTAAAGATGCTGTTGAACTAGATTCTTTGGTTTAATCAAAAAGCCCAAATCCATGTGGTTATCTGGCTGTGCCAGCATCCCCGTGTGGGGCTGGGCGCTGGGGCAGGGCTGAGTCAGGGTGGGGTCTCATCCCCCAGCGAGTGGAGATGTCCAGTCCTGTCTCCCAGCACTGGGACTTGCAGCTTGAAGGGACCCCACACACAGCATCTGCTCCTGGGGCTGAGCACAGGGCTGTGGGCTTGGCTGCCTTGGGGTCTGTGCTCCCCACTGTGGTGGGCCAGGGGAGATCAATCCCATGGCAACCTTGTCTGGGCTGTGTGGTGGGTGGAAGGACCATGCTGGGATGGAGGGAGGCTGCTCCCCCATCTCCACAGGGAGAGGGCAGCACCACAGGCCTTCCTGTTCCTGGCCCCTCTTGCCCTGCCATTTGCAACCCTGGAGGGTCTAGGGGCTTCAGGTCCTGTGTCCTGGTAGCAGGATGGGGGTTAAATGTCCCTCAGGTGCTTCAGCTCCTTCTGCAGCTTCTCTGTGAGTTTCTTGAAGGACGGGCGCTTGCCTGGCTCCAGCTCCCAGCAGCTCTTCATCAGGGCATAGACGGTGGGAGGGCAGCCCTCGGGGGCGTCCATGCGGTACCCCTGCTCCAGCAGCTCCGTCACCTCCTTCAGGGCCTGCCAGGATGGAGAACCAGCTGGCAACCCCCTTCCCTGCTCTGCTCAGGGAGCAGTGGGATGTCCCTGTCCCGTCAGTGCCAGTGGGGTGTAACCTGTGGTGGTCCCTGGCACAGTGCTCACCAGCTTGGGGTAGGGTGCCCGTCCAAAGGAAAAGGTTTCCCACAGGAGGATCCCGTAGCTCCACACGTCCGACTTGGAGGAGAATTTCTGTGGTGGCAGGAGAGGGGAGGCTGAAGCCAGCTGAGGGCTGCGCTGGGTCCCCGTTGCTTCCCGAGGGCAAGACAGAGGACAGTGACTGCCCCCTGCCCCCCCTCAGCTCCCCAGGGTGTGAACACCCCGAGTGCCATCATCCTGCCCCAATCCCCACTGCACTGCTCAGGACAGAGGCCGAATTTTGGGAGATGCAGGGCTGGCTGTGCCAGAGGCCACCATGGGGCAGGGATGGATCAGTGGGAATGGGAACAAGCAGGGGCAACCCAAGGGCGTGAGATACTTTGGAAGGACCCCCTGGCCAGCCCTGTCCCTCTCACTGTTGCTCACATTGTGTTTCAGGGCCTCTGGTGCCGTCCACTTCACAGGGAGCAATGTGGCATCTGCACCCTTGGGGTTGACCCGGGCCAAGCCGAAGTCGCTCACTTTGGCCACATTCTCCTCGGAGATGAGGATGTTGCGCGCAGCCAGGTCCCGGTGCACCAACTTCTTGGACTCAAGGTAGTCCATGCCTTGAGCCACATCCCTGCCACAACCAAGTGAGACAGAGCCGTGTCACTGAGTGCTCCCTGGGGCTGCACAGGGGCAGGCAGGGCCCTGGGTCCCAGCCCAGTGGAGGAGGAGGGGAACTCACAGAGAGAACAGGAGGAGCTGCTGGGTTGAGACAAGCGCCCGGCCCCGTGTGCGCAGGAAGTTCACCAGGTTTCCCTGACAGAGGAGGATAAAATGAGTCAGGACCAACAGGATGGGGCTGCCAGGAGACTTTGCCTTCTGCAGGTGCTGCAGTGCCTGGCATCTGTGATGACTCAGCCCCTAGGCAGGGATATTGTTCCCAAATCTAAGTGGTGATGGGTCCCACTGGCTGAGGAGCAGCCAGGTGCTCTCACCTTGCTCATGAACTCCATGACAATGTAGAGGCCATTGTGCAGGATCACTCCCAGCAAACACACCAGGTTTTTGTGCCGGACCTTCCTGGAATGGAGGGGATCTGAGTCAAGGAGCTCATCCCAGGCCACAGGCAGGGTGGGGCCACGCCTGCATGGAGCACTCACGTCATGGCAGCTGTTTCAGCGAGGAAGGCCTGGGCAGTCACATCACACTTGATGTTCTTCACAGCCACCCTCTGCCCCAAGTACTCGCCCTGCAGGACATCTGGGAGAGCACGGGAGAGTCAGGCTGAGCCCCACACCCAGCCCCCTGCTCTCCAGGCTGAGCCCCCCGTGCCATGAGATGGGGAAGGGATCAGGCAGTGCCATCTGGGGAACTTCCACCCCAACCTCTCACCTACCTCCAAACTCGCCTTGCCCAATGCGCTCTCCCAGTGTGAGGTGCTTCAGGTTCAGCAACCAGCCAGCTGGGCATGGGCACAAGGGCAGGTTAGCAGAGCCATCAGTAGGACCTTGTCCCTAAAATGCAGACCACAGCCCCCTCCCACCATCCCCTACCTTTGGCCAACTCCTCCTCAGCTGACTTCATCCCAGATTTTGTTTTGGGCTTCACCAGCTTGGTGCAGATGGCTCCCTGCTCCTTCATGTAATGCTGCCAAGGGATGAACAGGTGGAGGTGATGCCAGCTCTTACCCTCAGGGTCGGGGTGTCCAGGGAACAGCTTTGGGATGCTCCACAAGACCGCACCATCGCCACCCTCGAGGGCAGCCCACCTCTCAGCCTTGCTCCCCTCTGGGCACAGCCAGAGGAACACCACGATGGACCACAGGGGATGTGGGGTGCTACTGGTGGGGTTGAACCCCTGGCAGGGGCTGCAGCAGCTGAGGGCAGTTGGCAGAGGCAATGGGAGAGGAAGCAGCCAGACAGGATGGGGCTGGATGGGATGGGATGGGATAGGACAACCTTCAGAGTTTTAAAGTGAGGCCAAGGCAGCTGAGAAGGGAAAGGAGCCACCCAAAAGTTGTGTCTAAAAGGAAAACACAAGAGTGCAACTCCCTGGAGAGGAGACAGGGTGAGGGAAGGACCACCAGGAAAAACTCACTGGAGGGGCGAGAGCTCACACAGCAGCCTGGGAGCCCTGTGGGGTCAGCAGGTGAGAGGGGCTTTGAGGGGAAGGAAATGCAGCAAAACGCCTCCAAGTCCAGGGGAGGCAGAGGCCACCAGGGTCTTCCTGCTATATGAAGCCCTGATTAAGCAGGGATAGGGGTAAAATGTGGCCTTTGGCTGGGGACTGTGACTGCAGCTGGCACAGCTGGTTTGCAGAGACATCCTTGGGATATCCCAGATCTGCCCACTGCACCCCAAACTGAGCGGGAACCACGAGCCTTTGAAGGGGATGGAGAATTACACTGGGTAAAACACCAGTGAAAACCACACAGAACAGGACAAGGACCTGCCTCTGTGAGAGCCCATGAGGTCCTTGCCCTGCTCTGGCACTGGTGGGACCCTCTGCCCGGGGGTCTCACCTCAATCATGTCAATGAGGTTGGAGAAGTACTGCTGGCTGTCGATGCTGAGCGTGTTCTCCTCGTGCACCACGCGGTAGTGGATCACCTCCTTGCCAAAGCTCACGCACAGCACGTAGTCCCCGGGGTGCCGCACAGACTCACGCACCAGGAACAGCCCATCCTCGGGGGGCTGCAGCTCCTGCACCGCCTCCAGCCCCGAGATCTTCCCGTGGAACCAGCTGAGGGCAGGGGCGTTGGAGAGGGGGCTGAGCCAGGGGAGCAGCGAGATGGGGAAAGCAGAGCCCTGCCAAAGCTGCACAGACCCTACTGCATGAAACCCCCCTCCACGGGGCTGGCACAATTAGGGGTCCTTAAATCCAGGTACTGGCCCCAGCAAATCCCTCCATGGCCAGGGCATGGCCACAGGATGCTCTGTCCCCAGTTGCACCCCCAAACCATGAATGGGGGGAACACGCTGGACGCATCTGCTGCCGCAGCTCGCAGGGGCTCAGCGGGGTCCCCCCAGTCACCCCGGCTGTACTCA